GTTCCGTCTGTCGGGTCAGCCTCTGCCTTGCTTTTTCCTTATGCTGGGGCCACTGTCATTGAGCTCTGTTCAGTGCTTTATTATTGTCTAGGGTCTTGGGTTGTGCAGGCTGAACTTGTGATCCTCCTGCCGTCTGAGTGGTGGGATCACGTCTGTGTCCATGCCTGGCTTTTGCTATCCTTGTTGTTCCCACAGGAGCCTTGACAAACACCTGCCGGTCTGTGCCAGGGGCTGTGCAGACGACAAGGCTGCGGACAGGCCTGGCTGCGGGGCTGTGCACACAGGGAGGAGGAGCAGCCACTGACTTCTGTTTCCCATGAGACCCGACTGTGCGGCGTCCGTGTCCTGAATGCTTTAAGATCCAGAGGAACAGCATGCGGCTGTTGGTCCTGTGGATCCTTAAAAATTTTTTAACTTTAGTTTCAATTTCTAGTGACTGTTTCACCATAAATCAAGCAGCAAAGAGCAGGCACAGGAGAAGGAAGTGGGGGCCACTTCACAAGTCATCCAAGCCTCAGCGTGCTGGCGGGATGCCAGGCTCTGGGCTCCTGTGTGGCACGTGAGGCGTGGACCAAGCCTTCCCGGGAGCGTCTCTCCATCCCAAGGGGAGACAGGTGGGCACAGCGGTCATGGACTTGCAGAAGGGGCAGGGTACCATGCCTTGTGCGAGACACAGGCCGGACGGACATGGGAGACATGGGGAGCGACAGCGCGGCAGGCTCCCAGCTGAGCACTTCTCGGGTCGGGACACTTGAGAGATTTCTTTAGTGTTATCAGATTGGGAGCAGATGCTGATTCTTATTAATAAAGATCACATATAAGAACAGGGGCACAGGGCTGGGGATTTAGCTCAGCGGCATAAGTGCCTGCATTGTAAGCAGGCAGTTGTGAGTTCGATCCCTGGTACTGATAAAAAGGAAAAAGAAAAAAAAAAAATAAAAAAGTACAGGGGCACTTGCCACGGGCAGCAGGGAATCAAAGTCCTGGGAAAAACTCAGCAAAATGTAGCTCATGTTCTGTGCCTTGTTTTCCTGTCAGCTTTCTTCTGCTGTTCTTCGCAAGGGTTGCTCTTGGAGTACACACTAAAATGTTTGAAAATGAGGCACTTTATTAATGAACCCCATTTTGTGGAGAGCCCCACCCCCAGTGTTCTTCAGACTGGTGGCCTGTGGAGGAAGTTGGTGGTGCCTCGGGTAATTAGTGATGGTTTCAGCTTGGTCATCTGTTGGCTGGGGGCAGTGGTCTCTCGCTGGTTGTGGCTTGACTCGGGGATGCTCACTGCTGGTCCTCAGATGCTGGCCAGGCATTTGACTAGGTGATGGCCATGTTGATTTGGAGTGGTCCCTGTTGGCCTTGGGGGTGGCCATCCACTGACCTCACCATAGCCAGGCCCCAGATCATCAGCATGATGGACATGTGTGGGTTTCACAGTGCTCAACGGGATGGGTTAATTCTGGCAAGGAATATGTCAAAACTCTCATCTGAGGACGCCGCCTCCTAGAGGCTTCCGGTGTGCGAAAACCTGGCTTACCAGCCTCACTGCTGCCTCCGTGGGCTTTAGAGCCCCTCAAGGGGTCGCCTGAGAGAGCCCCCACAGGCATTGCCTCTGCCTGGCTTCCTGAGCATGGCATCGTCAGCAGACCCAGTTCCCCTGTCAGCTGGCCAGCTTCTCCGGGGTCCCGCCAGGGTCACCAGGGTATGTATCACCAGAGCCATCTGCCCTGCTATGTTGGGGTCTTCTGGAAGAGGAGCCTCCCTGAGGCACAGTTCATCCCTCTTTGTGCTAGAAGGTCCAGTCTGGCCCCAGCCCTTCCCAGACACCCTGGGCAAGCCTCCTCCCTCACTGGGCCTCAGTTTCCTCATTTGGAAAGCAGCGGGCTGGGTTGGGTCAGGTGAGCTACGAGGCACCGAACGGCGTGCCTGGCTCCGAGTGTGTCTGGGGTGTGTGTGAGGTGACGGGGTGGAAGGGACCGCTGTCTCCACAGAGGACTGAGGCTGAGGTCACCCGCTGGCCAGAAAGCACGCTGGGAGCCTGGGCTCTTGGACTTCACTTGCTACCGCCTGGCTGACTTCATTCCCACACTTTTTTGAGTTCTATTAATAAGTGGGTTGGAGACATTGGTCTTCCTAAAGCCACGCACACCAGGAATGTCCGTGACAGTGTGCTGCATGTTCCACTGACATGCAGGGGACTGGAACCACCACTGGCCCTTCATCACACGTCTCTCGGAGGACGTGTCCCTGAGCTCTCGGGCCAGCCTGGCACTCAGACTTCGAGCATTTGCTGACGGAGCCAGGGCTGGCAGCACCCTGGAGCCAGTGATGAGTCAGACGTGGGGCCTCGGGGCTCCCACCGGGGCTCCCTGCCCTCTCAGCATCCACGGCCTTGTCCTGCTTGTCCCTGCTGCCCTTCCGGGCCTCCTCCCTGCCGCGTGCCCTGCATATCGTTGTGCGTCCCCCTCCTCCTGCTCTTCCTGTGTCTCCCAGAGAATGAACGGCCTCCCCTCCCCCTGCTCCCTGCTGGGGAACCTGTATTTGTTTCCTGTGGCTGTTGTAACAAATTGCTTAAAAGGACAGACATTCATTTTCTGAAAATCTGAAATCAGCATGATCTGGCTGAAATCGGGGCATTTTCAGGGCAGTTCCTTGGGAGCTTCTGGGGCAACGCCTTTTGCTGGCTTCTTTCAGTTTCTGTGGCTGTCAGTGTCCCTTGGCTTGTGGCCACATCATTCCAGTTTCTGTCTCTGGTCACATTGCCTCCACCGTGTGCTTGCATCCGGACTCATCCTGGTCTTCAGGACAGGTAGCTGTGGAGCCTTTGACACGGTCACATCTGCGAAGTCCGTCTTTACCACATAAACTGCTGTGCATGGGGGCAGCACTGTGGACCTGGAGAATCTGGGGGGCTGTTTCCTCAGCCAGCCACAGACCCGGGAGCCCTGAGGCAGCTGTGCCCCAAGTCCTGACCTGAGTTCTGCTTCCCGGTTCCCTCGCATGGCCCTCCAGGACACCTGTTCTGTAGCTCCAGATCCAGCTGTTGCCCCCCAGGAGAGCCACCCTGAGGTGTGTCCTGCCCTGGGCTCTGTCTCCTGTCCATGTCCTCACCTGGACACCCACTGTCCAGTGCTCTGCCACTCCTCATCTCACCCTTCGTGCTCAGGCACCATCTCAGGGTGGTCCGCAGCCGGGGCCTGAGCTGTGGGCCTTCAGAGCTGTGGTTCTCTCTGGTTGGAGCACCAGCTCTCCTGGCCGCTCGTCTGGCCAGTGCAAAGGGCCAGGCAGGCACCAGCGTCCTCCACCACCTTTCCTGTTCTCGAGTCTGTCCTTTGTCCCTCTGTGTTTCCACTGGTCCAGCTGCTGGCCGCAGAGCCTCTGCTGGTGGGCCGTCCACATTACTGCCTGACACCAGGCCTGCCCCATAGTACCCATGGCTGAGTGCACCAGGGAATGGCACCCATGCCAGGCTCGCCTCTCGTGGCAGAGGTCAGCATGGCAGTGTCACCTCCTCTTTGTCCCTGAGGACTGCAAGCTGGAACCAGACAGGCAGCCCAAGGTCAGGGAGGAGGGCAGCCTGTCCTCCACACTGTCCTCCCGGCTGAGATGATGGTGTGGCAGAGGCCAGGGGGTTGTTTTGAGGGTGTGGTTTCCTGACATCCAGATGGTGACCTGGGACTGCATGCCCAGTACATACCCCACATCAAACGGGGACCCCAGCCGGTGCCAGCTAAGCCAGGTGTCCCACTTTCTGAGAGAATCTGGGAGTCTTTCCTTGTGGAGTCTTCTTATTCTTTTTTTTTTTGTACTGGGAATTGAACTCAGGACCTCATGCCTGCCAGGCAGGCACTGTGCCACTGTACTAAATTCCTGGGCCTTCTGGTTCTTAAGTCTGAGTTTGAGCTTTTAAAATCCCACAATGGTTGGTAATGGAGATGCACCTTCAGGTTGGACTCTGTGTGAGCCCCCAACAGGAGACCTTTGGGTTACGGATAGTGCACCAAAAATTGAAGCAGGAGAGGGCGCCGTGGGGTGGTGGACTAAAGGATGGCGGATGGTCCAGGAAAGTGGTACCCTGTGCTCACGGCGGAGGGGAGTTGAGAGGACCTGAGCAGGCGTTAAAAGGAGGGTAGGGGTTTACCAGCTGGCTGGGGCAAGAGGTGGGGTCGAGGTGCCCAGCTAAAGGCCTGGCAGGTCAGCTGTTCCCTGTGACTTGCGTAAGGACTGGGAAGATGGAGGCAGCTGCACCTTGAATGCTGTAGGACAGGGCTGCCTGATCCCGAGAGTAACAGGAAGGGCCGTCTGGTCTTCAGAGAGGCAGCAGGATGCTTCCTGTAGAGTCTGGTCTTGTGCTGGGGGTGGCTAGAGACCGGCAATGGGGTACAGTGGGACTGTGGCCAGTTACATGTCCATGTCTGTCCAAGGTGTCCACTGTTGGCGGAGTGCTACCCTCTTTGATCAGAGCCTACATTGGAATTGCCTTTTTAAAACAGGACATTTCTTCAGTTTGAGTGTCGGGCTCAGTTTTGTAAGTATTGTTTGGCCCAAATTGAATATGTCTGTGGCTGGCTTTGGCTCCTGGCTGACGTTCTCTACCTTTGTCTTGAGTTTTGGGCTGCTGGAGTTGGAGTGGCCCTTGGCCAGTATGGGATCATGCTTGGTGTCATGCTAGGGCCATGGACAGGTCTGCAGCTGCCCTGGAGTCCCTTGCCAGGGACTGAGTCAGGTTGCCCTTGCCATGTTGGTATCACGAGTGCACTGGTGTTTCTGGAAGGACAGTTGAGGTGCAGGTTTGGAGTGACAGTGGCCTGGCCTCTAAAAGTGGTGTCTGAGCAGAGGAGGGACACCAGCCCATGCCCTCTAGCCCACTAGGGCTGCAGTCGAGGCCAGTGGGGCTGGGCAGGACTCTCGAGGGGAAAGCACTGCCCTTCTCTGGCTCCCCGCTGCTCCTCCTCTTCGGTCTGTTGTGTACTGAGAGTGTGAACCTCTCTCCTTTGCCTCTGCAGGCCGGTCTGATCCGGATGGAGGAGGAGGAGTTCTTCATCGAGCCCCTGGAGCAGGGGCTGGCGGCGCAGGAGGCTGAGCAGGGCCGAGTGCACGTCGTGTATCGGCGGCCGCCTACGCCCAAGGCCCCTCTTCCCGGAGCCCCGCAGGCCCTGGAGACAGGTAAGGCTGCTGCAGCCATCAGGCTGCATGGGAAACACTGGGTCCCTGATTCCCAGGGGAACATCCTGGGGGGCAGAGACACCCCTCCTCGGGCCCAATAATAGGCAGAGTGCAGCCCGGCCATGGCACAGTGGAGTGCTGGGGCTTGGGGCTGGCACCCCCATTCTGGGTGCACACAGGCAGGAAACAGCTTCGGCACCCAGTGCGTGCAGGCCTGGGGCCCTCACGAAAGAAGCAGAGGTTCTTCCTGAGGACCAACACATGTAGGAGGGCAGGGCCAGCCCAGCCCAGGCCTGCACCCCACACCCCTCCTGCTGCCTGTGTTGCCCCATGACAGTGCAGCCTGATTGAGGGCTCTTTCTAGATTCCCCATGGGATGAGCCCCAGAAAGACCCTGGGTTGCTGCCAGTGCCTGAGGAGCCTCTATACATTTGTGGGATTTTCTCTTAATTTCACATGAGCGTGTACTTTGGGCCCAGGAATGTGAAGGTAACTGCAGGTGACCAGGGTGATTGGCTTCTGCCTGTGTCCTCACCATGGTGTCCCAAACCTCCCTGCAGTCTCTGATTCCGGACTATGGTGAGGCCCAGGCCAGGGTCTGCTGTGGTCCTGCAACAGCCATTGTTCCCAGGGCCCAACTGTGTGGACGAGGCCACCTTACCCAGGCTGGAGCCCTCGGCCTCTTGCCCTGCTATCTGGCTGCTGAAGGCTGCTGTGGGTGGTGACAGCCCAGCAGTTGGCCCTGGGGCCCTCGCTCCCAGGAGTGAGCACTCCTGAGCCTTGCACCATGATTTACTGCCTCACACGCCTCCCGCAGAGCGGCCCTGGCTCATTAATTTAGATCTCCCGACTGACAGATCAATTGGGTGCAGCCTGGCAGGGCTCATTCTAATTTCAAGAGGCCGTGTCAAATAACTTTGCAAAGGAATTGTTCCGTCAGGTAGCCCAGCGCGCTGTGGAGCCGATCAATACTTCTGGCGGGCCCCGCTTGCCTGGTAATGAATCGTCGTCTTCTGTGGTTGCCAGCAGCGGGGCTGCTGGGCACAACCTGCTTGGCCTCAGCGCCTGCTGCCTCCCCTAACCTGGGGCTTTCTGTGTGTGTGCACATGTGTGACAGCCATGGTGGGCAAGAGTGAAAATGGGGCAGGGCCCGCCCTCAGACCTGGGCTCAGGCCCCCTCCCCAGCACAGCCCTTGCAAGCCTGGGCCTCCGACCTCTCCCTTCTCCCAGCTTTGGACGGGCTTGGAAATGCCTCCCTCTCAGGCAGCTCAGGGCCTGGCCATGTCACGCTTCAGGCTTGATACTCGTGCGTGGGCTGGCCCCTGCTGGAAGGTTCTGGGTGGCTCCAGCAGTGCAAGGCGGGGCCTGCAGCGTGGACCTGGCCAGGTGCCTGTGGCTGAGTCTCTGGCCTTGAATTCCACAGGGCTCTTATCTTCCTGAGCATGGCAGCCCTTCCCCCGTGGCCTCGTTGGCCTAACCTTACTTTCTGACTTCTGCTGGTGTTTTGGCATCTTCTGTTGGATCCTCTCCACCTCACAACCCTCGTCCACCTATCTTTAATGAGAAGTTGAAACAGAGAACACAGGAAAGGAATTTCAAACTCAGAAGAAGTCCAGAAACCACTGGCCTTAGAAAAGTCTGGGTGAGGCCAGCGGTCAGGTCGGGGTGAGGCTGAAGGGTGTGGTGGTGGGGCTGGTCGTGGGCCATGGCGGGAGGTGGCCTTGGCCACGGCTGAGCCTGAGACTCCTGTCCTGGCTGCATAGACCATCACTGACCGTCCAGGCTGTGGGTGTGGGTCCAGGCCTGGGGCCATGGTCGCAGGGCACAGGCTCAGGGTCTGCAGCTTAGACCTCTCTTTGACGTTCCTGCCCAGTGTCAGCCTGACTTGCGTGAGGGAGTTGGGTTTTCGGGGAGTTCACTTTCTCTGGGTGTGCCAAACTGTTCCCACACGGCCAGGGCTGAGGTCGGCTCATTCCCTGGCTGGCAGGGGTCCAGAAACAGTTTATGTTGGAGCTGGGCTGAGGGCCCAGGGTGACCTCAGACGGCTCAGCTCCCATCGGTCTCAGCCATCCGGGATCAAAGTGGCAGTCTGGTGATGCACAAAAGCCATGTTCTGTGGCCAGCAGAGCAGAGGACATGGGTTGCTGGGCACAGAGTCTGAGGGCCTCAGAGCAAATTGTGTGTGCACGTGCGTGTGTGCACATGGAGGGGAGGTACCATGTGTGTTAGTGTGCGTGCATGCAGAGGGGAGACGCTGTGGCTTGGGCATGGTTTATTCCCCAGGCGTTCTGTGCTGGAGCCCCGTTCCCCGGGGCCAGGGCGGTGGTGAAGCGGTGGAACCTGGGAGAGGTGCCATGGTCATGGGCTCTACCTCCACGAGTGGATCAGCTGTGGTTTTACGGAGCTGGTGGGACTCACAAGAGTGAGTCCGTCCTCATGAAAGCAGGCTGTGGGTTATAAAGCGGGAACGCCCTGTGTGTGTCTCCAGCACGAGGCCCTCGCCCTTGCTGCTGTGCGCCTGTGTCTGAGATGCTAGTGCTGTGCCATGTGGACCCATGAAACTCTCAACTGATAACGTACCATCCCTCAGGTATTTTGCTATACAGTGTGGAATGGACACAGACACGAGGAGACTGTGGGTTTTTTTCTATCGCAAATACCTGAGAAAGGCTGACTGCATACAGAGAAGAGCTGTGTTTAGTTTTGGGGGTTTGAATACTGAAAGTTCAGGATCAGACGACCACGCCCGTTGCTGCTGCCTCCCAGAAGGACAACAGCTGCTGGTGTCACTGTGGCAGGCACACGTGGAACTCGAGGTTGCATCTATGGATGCGAATCCGGATAATCCATCTCAGGATCCTTAATCTCATCTCTTCTGCCAGGTGCTTGTTTCCCACAGAGGGTGCCGGCCCCAGGTTATAGGAAGCAGAGTGTGTCTTCAAGGGTCCTGTGCAGCCAGTGGCAGGAACTGTCCTTCCTGGGGCGGCTGGCCACCTAGTGAATGGTGCACAGGTCTGTGAGGCCCCTGGGGGGCCGTGAGGGGGAGCACCAGCCTCAGTCTCGCCAGGCCCTGCCCGCTGGCCAGAAAGGATGAATCACCAGGGGCTGGGCTGATCCCAAGACTGTGTGTTGGAGAAGCCGGTCCCCACTGCTGGCCTTCTGGTCTGGCTGTTTCTTCCTTTGAGGGACCAGTTGAAATTCTGCAAAGCTGCCCAGGTCAAGTGCCAGGCATCTGCCGAGGGCCTCGCCATCTCAAGAGAGAGCTACAGGGTGCGGCCATCAGTACCTGTGAGGCTGGCAGCACAGAAAAGGGAAAATTAACTGCATCCACCCGTGGGTCTGGCTTTATTCTAAACATAGATGACAGAGAAAACATTTGTGTGAAAATGAGAACAGCAGCATGAATGAGGCCGCACGGAGTCCCCGGCCCTGGGCTCACCTCGGGCACCTGGCAGAGCAGAGGCCCCCTCTGAGGCAGAGCCCTTTGTTGGATCCCCCTGCCCTTGGCCTGGTAGAAATCGGTCTGGGGAAGCTCGGTATCTTACAGCCAGGAGAATTCAGATATCATAATTGTTACGTGAACCGCCCTGACGTGAAAGTGTGGCTTCCAGTTTGTGAAAAGTACCATCTGGAGCTGATGGAGCACGCACATATCTGTTGGCCTTGCTCTGAGACAAAGGGCAGAAGCAGCTCTGCCCTGCTCTAGGGTTGCCCTCTGGGGACCCCAACACACCTTGGGGTCGAGGAGGGGTGGGTGGTTCCCATCTGCAGGTTGCTGTGCCCTGGAGCCGAGCATACTGCCCCTACCTGAGGGAAGGGATGTCAGCCCCAAGCCAGTGACCTTGGCTGCCCCACGTGGCCTCAGAAGCACCAGTGCCAAGCCTCTGCCCGCTGCTGTCAGGCCCCGGTGTCCTCCCAAGGAGCCTCTGCCCTGTGGCTGCTGCCAGGGCCGCCTGCCGGGGAGGCGATCAGAGCAGCTGCTCCACGTGGCCGGTGCAGCTGGCAGCTGCTGTGAGCGTCTCCGCCCAGCGGCCACAGCCAGGCCCCGGCCCCTCCCAGCCCGCTCCTCACCCTGCCGAGTTGCCCTGAGCCTGATACAGGAGTCCTCCAGGCTGCTGGGGAGCTCGTGTGGACCTGCGGGGGGGAGCACTGAGGGCAGCACTGCCTGCTGCTGGGCTGTGTGAGGCCACAGCCTCGAATGACCTGGGCCCTGGACAGTGTCCTGTGGGCAGCGGGCAGCTATCAGAAGGGTGTGCAAGCACTGAGTGAGGGCTGTGTGCTCTGGCCAGCCAGCCTTGGTCGCAGGAGGCTGCAGGGAAAGGAGCCCTGTCCTGACCAGTGGCAGGCAGATACCAGGCCTCAGTGATGCAGCGGATTTGGGGTATGGGGGAGGGCTAACCAGAGCGGAATGGGAGGAGAGGCGAGAGGACGGGGCTTAGACAGGGCAATAGGAAGGTATTTCCCTGCAGCCACTGTCGTCTTAGCTACTATGGCCACAGTGATGGGTGCCACACACTTAGTAGCTTAGGCAGCATGGTTTGTTTCCCCCAGTTTCAGAGCCAGGAGTCCTTGGTGGTGTCTGGGGGCCTCTCAGGACATCCACAGGGTTGCCTCCTCCAGAGAGCATCCGATTCCTGGCCTTGCCCCACTCCCCGAGGCTGCCAACTGCCAGGCTCACAGTGCACCCTTTCGGGCCGCTCCCCTGGGGTCCCATGACCTCTTCTTCTCTAGCCAAGTGCCCTGCACCTTCCCCTGCTGAAAACATGTGGGATTGCTTGGGGTCCAGTCGGGTAACCGGGGCTGTCCCTGTTTCAGGGTCCCGAAGTGAGTCATGTCTGCTGTCTCCTTTGCCCACTCACGGGGTCTGGAGAGTGGGATGTGGATCCCCTGGGAGCCATGACTAGCAGTGGCCTGGCTCAGTGACAGGTTGGGTCCTGGGATAGGATGGACAGAGCTCAGACCTTGGCCCAGACTCACAGCCTGATCCTCGGGCCTGGCTG